TCGGCTTCAAAGGGTTAACCAGCTGATTTTCGTAATGGTGAGGTGTAGTGTTTTCTTCGCGGTACGGACTGAATTCATAAATAATATTCAGACGATCTTCGGCTTCAAAGGCCTGTAGAGAAACAAATTACATTTCACTGCTACAACACAATCAGAACTTCTTAACAGTACTTGTCAATCAGGTATCAGACACTCGTTCAGCCTCAGCGAACTGTCAGCGTCTGGTTCAATATCTGTCGTTGCAGTGCGCATGCGTCCCTCCACGCGTTGAATTATTATTATTATTTATTATTGACTGCAAATGGGTTTATACCCGGTGGCAGTGTCCTACAATAACATACAAAACAATGAGACAGAACAGAACAATGAGATACATCAACACAATGAGACAGAACAAAACAATAAACAAAAGGACACAACAAAAACAATAAGACACAATAAACAATGAGATACATCAACACAGAGACAGAACAAAACAATAAAAAAGGACACAACAAAAACAATATGACACACAAACAATGGGATACATCAACACAATCAGACACAACAAAACAATAAACAAAGGACACAACAAAAACAATAAGACAATAAACAATGAGATACATCAACACAGACAGAACAAAACAATAAACAAAAGGACACAACAAAAACAATACGACACACAAACAATGGGATACATCAACACAATCAGACACAACAAAACAATAAACAAAGGACACAACAAAAACAATAAGACAATAAACAATGAGATACATCAACACAGAGACAGAACAAAACAATAAAAAAGGACACAACAAAAACAACACATCCCACTCAAAATCAACCAACTCATAAATTACAAAACCATCCAACCTCAAGTACTTAACTTAAAAAAAAGAACTTAATACCACCTAGACATAAGACAATAACTGTAATGTATTACAAACGTCATGAACTGATGCACTCACACAACAATACAATGAGACACAACAATACAACATACCACACTCAAAATAAAACATCTGACACAATAAAAAAACACACATCCACTAATTAATCACAATACTTAAGAGTGGAATATAAAGTCCGCTCTCAGTACATGAAAATTTTATCCCAAAGAACTACAGCCCTTCATCACTTGGAGACTAAGACACTTCACTTCACTTATCACCATTTATTCCCAACTTAATAACCCTTAGCTTGTAACTACTTTTCTGACCCTCTTTCTAAAGGTGCCTAATTTACAGGGGAAAGACTCTAGCACGCCTGGAGGTAATTGGTTCCAGCTTCTTATGGTCCTATTTACAAAGGAATATTTGCCTACATCCGTTCTTTGTTTCCTAGTCCTAATTTTCCGAGTATGATCGTCCCTGCCCAGGTAGCATGGCTTTAATAATCTATCCTCTATCATTTTCCAAGCCCGGCCCCCCGTGTATGCTTTGAAAAGGGCGCACATTCGGGCTATCAATCTACGCTGTGCCAATGTTTCCCAACCAGATTCGTTCGTGAAATTAGCAAATTTAGCCGCTCTCTTCTGCACCCGATTTAGTGCTCTTACCTGTCCTTCCCTGTAAGGGTCCCAACACACAGCTCCATATTCAAGTATCGGTCTCACTAGCGACGTATAAGCTAAACGTTTCGTATTGTTATTTCCCTTTTTTAGTATACGCATTACGAAATGGAGAGCCTTCCATGCTTTAATTAGTGTATAATTCACATGATCTGCCCAGCTCAGATCACTGCGAATAAGTATTCCTAAGTACTTAAAGCTATTTGCCTCTGGAATTAATTGATCCCCAAAAAAGTAACTCAGCTTATCCTTCACCCTAGCTCTATTGAAGCTGACTGCTTTACTTTTACCTGGATTTATCTTCATTTCATTTTC